TGCAATGGTTGCAGTGGGTGCAATGGTTGCAGTGGGTGCAATGGTTGCAGTGGGTGCAATGGTTACAGTGGGTGCAATGGTTGCAGTGGGTGCAATGGTTGCAGTGGGTGCAATGGTTGCAGTGGGTGCAATGGTTACAGTGGGTGCAGTGGGTGCAATGGGTGCAGTCTGTCAGCCGCCAGTTGGTCCGTACGCTAGGATTAAACTGCGCTTTAATTTTAAAACGTTCAAAATAAAATATTTTTGGGCTTTTGGGCTCAAAATACTATCAAAATGAAGAAAGTGTGACGAATCCACTGGTACCAAAGTTATCATGAATCAAACGTCCTGCATTTTTTTATAATTAATAGTTTAATAATTTTGAGCGTTTGTCAACAATTCAATTTCGCTTGATTTTCAAAGACAAAAGCCAAAAATCGCTTGTTTAGTAATACATTTGACATCAGTACAATTTCTAACACTGAATCGAACGGTGGTATTATAGACAAAGGCCAAAAATCGCTTGTTTAGTAATACATTTGACATCAGTACAATTTCTAACGCTGAATCGAACTGTGGTATTATTATCCTTATTGCGCCATTAGGCATTACAAATATTCGCTTGATTTTCAAAGGCCATAAATCGCTAGAATACTGCTGTTTAGCAATACATTTGACATCAGTGAGTACAATTTCTTACGCTGAATCGATCAATTTTATCCTTATTGCGCCATTAGGCATTTACAAATACAAGGGCAAACGTGGTGCGAGTGATTAACAATAGTACGTACTGTGAGCGACTTGTCAACAATACAATTTCACTTGATTTTGAAAGGCCATATTTCGCTAGAATACTGATGTTTAGTAAAATCTTGACATCCGTAAGTATACACTTGACATCCGTAAGTATACACTTGACATCCGTAAGTACAATTTCTTGTGCTGAATCGAACGGTGTCGCTTTCTTCTCAAAATATAAAGCAGCACAGCCAATAAACTCTGCGGTATAAACTTGCGATTTGCGAAGGTTGCTGTTTCCATGTCGAAATTCCTTGTAAAATTGTTCAATTTTCCCAAATTTTCCTCAAAATGCAGGGTTATTTATGGATAAATTGGGTACAAATGGCTGGAGCCTTATGGATAATTGGGGGAAAATTAGGCAGCTCATTAATATTCTATTTTGTGGCTATCGACGATCCACTATCTTAGAAAAATGCAAGCCGAAACCTATACTCGCCCGGGGCACAGAGTGCCCCAGCGAGTAAAAAACGCAACCTCGTAATTTCCCACGAAATCGTCATTGTTTTAAAGACAAAACAAAAGATTTTAGGCGCCTGGGAATTAAAAATAGCACAACTGTCAAAATTACACACGCGAGTGCATAAAGCAAAATTTATACATTTAATGCACAACAACAGTTAATATGATATATTAGCAATTCGATTTCAATTCCCAGGGGCCTAAAATCTTTTATGCTTAAGAATTGCAAAGTGATTTCTTAGGAAATTCCGAGATTGCGTTTTTTTATACAGCCTGTATGGCAGTATTTCATTGTCTGACTTAACCCATTGATGCACAATGCGCCCTACGTATTTTTTACTTGTCTAACGCCAGACGATTTTACTTGTCAATGGGGAAGCTCTACAGCTTAATGGGGTAAAGCAACGAAAAAGCTGTGAGGGTTTACATGCAATATTGTCATGTCAGAGGGTGATCGTGGGATAAAGCTTGTGGGTATTTGTTGCTCTTACCCATCGCAGATATATTAACAGGTGTATAAAAGGGTGCTCAGTTCTAAGGAAATGTGCACCTTTCATGCCCAATGAGCCAGCATTGAAGATTTATGGGTACCCTTCCAAAAAGCGAAAAGTAATTCCAGGAAACGCGATGGCGGGCATCTCGCTTATTTTACTAACACATAATGAACAACATTTTTTGACAGACTGGTTGTTTGACTGATGTAATCGACAACCATGCACTTTCAATTGATAAAATTGAAGTTGGAGACTATGTTGGATTAGGTAAGTAAGAAAGTTGTAATTACTAAAATATTAGTCTGTCTGTGCAGCACTGATATATGTATCCATTTATATCTAGGCATCGTGCGAAATATAGACACAGTCAAACAGCTGTTATATATTATCACACCTGAACCATTGGAGGTTTTAAAAACAGTCAAAGTTTTGGTCAAGGGAAGACTTGAGATTCTGGACTGTCTATATAAGGTATAACACGTTATAATACTGCCTGGTGACAGGCAAGAAAAAAATGTTTCCATGATTGCTCAGCTATCAGTTCAACTGTTTGTGGAAGTGAGGAAAGTGCTAGAAACTGCTCTTTCATATTGAAGGCTATTGGAAATAGAAATTAGTTTAGTTTATTTGAAAGAACTCTTAAAATTATATACTAAACTCTATTACAGATTGTTTATATCTTTCTTTGTTTTCAACATATTTTGACTGAAAGAAGTGAGCTGTTCGCCATCATGGATTATTGAGAATATACATCATGGATCAATATTGGTCCAAAACGTCGTTTCTGGTCGATGTCTGAAATTTAGAAATGATAACATTTCAAACAATTTTGTTTTGTCATTCGGTCATTGTAGAGTAGTTTTATATGGTTAATGAGGTCAAGAACTAGTCCAAGATGGTAGGCAGGTTATTGATTTCGGTGTAAAAGCAAGATATGGCAAATCGGTAATTTAATATATAATTTTAAGAGTTCTCTCGAATTTTATTTCCACTGCCTTTAAGTCATATGAGTTCTAACCGTCAAGCCCATAGGACATAGGACATAGGACATAGGATCCATATGGACAATAACAAGTCAACGCCAATGTTAAGCTTGTTTATGATAAAACAAACACGGTATTCGCGTTTATTTAAGACCTGCTAATATACAGCTATTTCAATTAAGGTTGTCCCCCGAGCAAAGCGGAAAAGTCGAATACGAGCGCGAAAGGCTGCTGGAAATCTCTAATAAATGAATGACAATCTTAATTGACCATTTGCGTAATAGACAAAATTTTGATCTAAACAAGCCTAGACAAAAATGTCATCACAGCTTGAAAGAGCATCACAAAATTAATAATATTCCAAAGTTTCGTTGCGAAATGTTGTAAAATGCGGATAATATAGCCCTGCGAAGTTTGCAATTTTCAGTCCTTTTAGATTACAAACGGGAAATTGACAGCCTCAAAGCGTATCGGGCTGTCAATTTCCCGTTTGTAATCTAAATGACTGAAAATTGCAAATTTCGCAAGGCTATATTATCCGCATTTTACAACATTTCGCAACGAAACTTTGGAAATATTACCAATTTTGTGATGCCCTTTCAAGCTGTGATGAAATTTTTGTCTAGATCAAAATTTAGTCTATTACGCAAATGGTCAATTGAAATAGCTGTTTACCAATCATAGGAGGGGTGTAGTATTATAGCAGTGGCCAGATAGTACGGCAATGCTTAGAAAATAGGAAGTTTGTACTGTTGTTGACACGGAGGGAAATCTACTTTTCCGTTTGATGGATAGTTTGGAGACTGAAATTGGATTGACTATATAATTTGAATTATATATAGTTGTCTTCAAGGCAAAACCATTTTGTTCCTTTCATTTCTCGATTCTACATATTTGTGAGGTTTTTAAAAACAATGGGAACTAATGAACTTCAATATGTTTGTATAATGGTATTAAAGCGTTTTTGTTTTTTTTTTCTTTTGATTTTAAGAAACAGACATATGGGAACATTCCTTTTGTTACGTCAGAATTCACCTACAACCACAGAGGCTCAGGGCAAAAAAGAGTTCGCTACAACCTGCTGCGACAGAGATCACCAAATTCGCCAAAACCTAAAGAAGAAATCGTGGAAAGTTCCACTTCAGGAAAGTAGAACCATCAACGATGTGTGGGAAACAATTTATAAAAAAAAATGCGTAAGTAAGAATACGTAAAATTGTTTTTAGTCTGGTACGTTTTACGAGGATAGGAGATCATGAGAGCTCATATTTGACCACCAAAACGTTAAATTGAGAATCCGGCTAGCCTTGTTTTATTTTCTTGAAAAAAAAGTAACAGGATTATACATATATGATTATTCACTATATTGATATAGCAAATCACTGCACTTACGAATATTTGAAATACTACATAGTTACCTGGTCATATATTCCAAACAGTTATCATGCAATTCTTGTGCTCATTTAACCTCTGTGTAAGTAACTTTGGTCACTCTGGCCATATTGTATTCACTGACATGCGCATTTGATATATTAGGGAAAATTTTGTTGGCCGGCTTTAAAATTATAACGTAATAGAGACGACATTTCGAAAACGTCGGGATTTTCCATTCCAGTTTTCTCTATATAATTTTATCGTCATTCATTTTTTCGAAGAGCAAGTTGCTTTATAGTGTGATAAAGAGACATTAAGAATAATAGTCGTCTTTAAGATTTGAAAACTTTATTCAACATATATGATATGCCATTTAAAAGGAACGATAAACTAGTTCTCATTTTAAAGTTAATATTATCAGCTTGATCACTTCCTCATGTTTACATTGTACTAATATTCTCTTGCAACCAAAAATATAATGTGTGCACTAACATAACCCAATTAAACCTCAGCGGGCAAAACAAAACTACCAAACTAAGCTCAGCGAGGCAAGGCAGGTTTTGAATACTCCGAGCACAGTTTCGGCAAATATATTTTGAATATTCATTGTCTTCAGATTCTTCAAATTAATTAAATAATAGCATTCACTAAAAATATAGAGGAGTTGCAGTGATGGCAAAACTATTTACACTGGCCGTAAGGAGGCACCTGGTCGAGCCTAGCTGCATCGCACCTATCTGCATCCCACCTATAAATGTAAACGTAAATTATGGTTTAGGTTACAGAAAGGGTTGGGTCGAAGTTTTTCTTCTCAGAACATTTTTTTTTGTTACCTATATCAATTGCTTTTGGTAGGCCGTTTCCATTTTAATAAGATGCTTCTTGTATGCCCCTGCAGCCACAGGTGGGAGCAAATTCAAACTGTGATAATTCAGCACGAAGGCAAAGCTGCTCTGCATTTGAAGTTGGAGCATGCATGTGCACATGCAGCAGGAGATCTCTACCCTTTCTCTACGGAAACCTGAAATGTAGTAGGGCAAGTGTATTTTCCTTGATTGTTAATGTCCAACATGCAGTTATCTATCCATAGCTTCCTTACTCTGCTCCGACGGTAATTGTTGTAGTTTCAGCTTCTTTTGAAAATTTCGAAGCTGCTTCTCTTTCGCTTTTTGTGAAGGCTAAGTCGGGGCCCCCAATGATGCTGAACAGCTTTGAATTAGCTTGCTTGCGCCGAAACTCCTGGATTGGCAGCGGAACTTGATGCCACCACATGATGGACGGGAAACTACAGAACTGGAGTCGCAACGGCTGGTGCGATGGTCACTGGAGCGGGCGTTAATGCGACACCAAGCGGATGTGGTCTTGCTGTTTTCCTTTGGCCCACAACAAAATTCACTGCACGTTTTAAATGCAATACAAATGTTTTTGTCTTTGTCTTTATTGCTGTAACCACATCGAGAAGGCTTCGACTCCCACCTTTACATAATTTTGATAAGCGTTGGCTTCCAAATGGTTCCCACGGGTTTGCAACCAGACCAGCAAGTCCCTTTCATAGTGTCCGTCTTTGTAGGCAGTTGTAGAGCTTGAATCTACCTGTATCTTCTGGACATAATTGCAATTAGAATAAGAATAATCAGAATAATAATGCGTAGCTACGCAGGTATCGGACGACTGCTTTGACGGTAATTGTCGTAGTTTCAACTTCCTTTGAAAATTTCGAAGCCACTTCTATTCATTTTTATCAAGGTTGATTAAGTCACCCAATCAGGCTGAACAGCCTTGAATAAGCGTGCTTGCTTCCGCCGAAACTACTGGGTTGGTAGCGGAAGTTGATGCCACCACATGATGATTGGGAAACGACAAAACTTAAATCGCAATAGGTGATGCGGCGATCCCTGGAGCGGGTATAGTAGTAATTGACCTGCAGGTTTGTTCACCTTACGTCAGCCTTTTTTCATGGAACTCTTTTGAATGAAATTTTATTGAATTATTTTTTATCATGTTGGTTGTATATTATTTATACTCTTTAAATATAATTTCATCCAGAAATCTGTAATGGAAAGAGCGAGAGATAAAAACAAATAATTTGTTAAAACTGTTTTAAATGTTCCTGCTGCAAAATTGACTAAAAACAACAGCATAGAACTGGAAGGAATAGACATAGTTTTACATACCCTAGCATTCTGGTCAGGGTCTTAGCTAGGATTTTAGATCTTGGGCGTGTTTCTAATGACCAGGGCGTGCACATGTCAATTACCTTGAATAGCAAAATCACGGTTCTAGTTATGCTCGCCAACAGTAATGCTTGTGGTTGCAACCAAATACTAAAATATCAAGTTATTTCAGCAACTTTTGGGGGTATTTAAAACCATTTTAACACCATACAGTTCCCATTATCCATCAAAATATTAAAACATCACGGATCACTTTTGCCAATTCAACAACAACAGTAGATTTTACAAACTTTCTTACGACGTAAATAGGAAGAAATTCTGTCTGTTGTCAGCAGCAACACCTTATTTTATGATTACCTACACGGCCTTATATAAATAGTGAAGCCGCGTTCATTTTATCTAGCCGTGTTTTTCCATTTTTGGCCGCGATAACACGGCCAACACGGCCCTCTAGCTAACACCCTGATTCTGGTCTAAAATTCTGTATCCAGTAATAACTCTTTGTACTTCCAAACTGTTTTTTTCTCTTCAATATATTCTTACTTGATATATATTCTCTTCAATATATTCTTACTTCTCCATGATGAGTGCCTATCATTTCGGGTCTTCGTAACATTCTTAGGATTTACTTTCCCTCTTTTACCCTTTTCTTTGGTAACTTGGTCGGCCCATAAGAAGAATCTACTTTTCTCGTCTTCGTCCATTTCCTAACAGCGAAAAAATGGGAGACCAGGATTATCGGCGGAATACAAAACGCATAGGCTAACCACTTCATCACATTCACATAATGGAAAGTTGTTTGAACTTATTGTAGACTTTAGTTTGAAACACTTCTACAAATTCCGGATAAAAATCTTATCTTATAAAAAGCGAGCGCGTTTCAGTACGACACTTCACAAATCCATTAAGTAACTTCGTTTTTGGTTTTTACAGTTTGTTTTTAATTACATATTATATGTATACAATCCATGTTTCTAAGACCCTGTCAGGGAAAAAAGGGGAAAAAATCTACTTTTCTCGTCTTCGTCCATTTCCTGACAGCGTAAAAATGGGAGACCAGGATTATCGGCGGAATACGAAACGCATAGGCTTAATGCTCACAATTAAACCGTATACATACAGTTGGACGTTCATACTGTCCGATAATACTTACGTCGATGTAATTTATAAATGAAATTATACTTGTTGGCAATTTCTTACCATCTCTAATCTGCAACACACATGTTTGCAGATACAAACAAAAGTTCTTAATGGATGGCGGATAATTGAAGAAATTGCCATGAAACAGACATTCGCATTTAAAACATTTCTGTCCATAATTTGGCAAACCACTTGCTTTTCTGCAGCAACCATGACCTCACTTGGATCTTCCAGTGATCCTTTGATAATTGGTAACAATATGAATATTTTCTAAAACACACATACCCACAAACAGAGCAAGAAAACATTACTTCAAAATTGAGTATACGTATTCCGAATTTGAAGATTTGGATAAGTGTATAATAGATGACATTTTGCCGGATGGAAAGACCATAGTACCGTTGAAGTTGCTTTATCTAGTTCTACTTTTATCCTACTTTTCTTCACAAGGATGCAAGAAACCCTGATCGCGTATCTTATCTTTGAACAGCCGGTTCATGGGCCAGTTTCGTCAGATCATTTCTTGCCTCAAAGACCAAGACTTTCGATTATCCCAACATCTTTTTGCCTGTGTTGGTATACAAAGTTTTGATACGATTTAAAGTTTTTTTTTCTTTGAAAAACTTGATAAACTGAAATAAAACCATAACACTTAATATAATAGTTAGAATCCATAGGGGATCGTGTTAAAATAATTATCAGAAATTACACGCTTACAGCCAATTGCAGTTGAGCTTGCAGCTTGCATTTTAAACGCGTTGTTATATCGTTGAAAAGTATGCGTTCATTCCTTAGAAACACGCCGTTGCTAGGGGCGTAACGTGAACTTTTGGCGGACATTGTTGAACTTCTTAACGGCGTGCAAACAAACGTATAACGAGTTAAATATATTGTAAAAACGCCGCTTAAGCCTGCGACGGAACAGTAAGGTATTTTTAGAGTGCCTGCAGTCAAATTAGAACTCCCTGGTCGGTTTTGTGACAAAATCTAATTTAATGTGACAAAATCTAATTTAATTCGTCAACGCCAAGAATAGAAATACATGTTTACGTCGTTACAACGCGCGCCAAAAGTTCACGTTACGCCCCTAGCAACGGCGTGTTTCCAAGGAATGAACGCATACTTTTCAACGATGCAACAACGCGTTTAAAATGCAAGCTGCAAGCTCAACTGCAATTGGCTGTATTATATACTTATTTCTTGCCTCGAAGACCAAGATTTTCAAATATCTCAACTTCCTCTTGGCTGTGTTGCTGTGCAGAGTTTTGATACGATTCAAAGTTATTTTCTTTGAAAACCTTTTATTAAACTGAAATAAAACCATAACACTCAATATATTAGCTAGAATCCATAAGAGTCATGTTAAAACAGTTATCAGAATTAATTGCTTGTTATACACTATTCTGCACTATTTATTCTGACGCTTTGTAATAATTTGTTTTGTACAGGTGTTTCGATTGATTTTATACGGTATACCTACATAAATTGGATATCCTGTGTTACACAGAAGACTGAGGTAACCTGTGTCACAAACGGTGTTAAACTTCTGCGATTTTAAAGCTCTAAATGTTGACATTCTTTAACTTTTACGCTGATGTTCTTGCATCACATTTATATAAAGGAAAAAGTTGTTAGGTTTGAATTATTGTTGACTTTAGTTTGAAACACCTCAACGAATTCTGGATAAAATTCTTCTCTTCTAAAAGGCGAGCGCGTTTCAGTTTGTCACTTCAAAAATCCATTAAGGAACTTCGTTTTTAGTGTGAAGTTTCACTTCACACTGTTGTGATGGCTGGCGAATTCACACGAATCAGTCAGTCCTATAAAAACGTACAGCGTCGACACAATGCAAATTGTCACGTGAGCAAAATCTATAAAAACCCAGTACCTTTTAAAATTTTTGATCAGATCAAACAAGGATTTGATAGAAGCAACATGGCTTGGAGAGACATCGTAACTCATTGGCTTTCGGACAAATTCTTAATGCAAGATGGAAATTTGGCAACTTTGGATTTGATGAAGCTTTTGATAGAGAAGAATATGATACCCGCAACGCTTATTGACAATCCGACATTGCACTCAATCATGTTGACGCAAATCATATTGGAAACATTAACGGGTGTAACGGTACCTCGGGCCCCTCAGGGGAACAACTTTACTTATCATATGAACGCTAAGGAAATTTTGATGTCGGATTTGGCTAGAAAAAATGAAAAGCAAGTCGCGACACTGGAAGAAGAAACGGGGGTGAATCTGGATCACTATCACAAACTGAACATCAGAAATTAACTTTGAGATCAAGCGACCTTGTTAAAATATTTATTTCAAACTGTTTATGTTATTTACAAAGTTAATACCCATAGGGTAATGTTTTATAATCATCAATAATTACACGTTTATTATATACAATACGGTAGTCCTTTTTCATTCTTTTTGTTTCAATGTTTTTTGTCTTTGTGTCCCGAGTTATCCTGAACTGGATATCAACGGTTACTTGTCCCTTGACATTACATTTTGCATAGAGGAACACCAATGAGCGAATGACGTCAAAGTTCACCTTTTGCCTTGCGGTGCAATTCAACGTGATACCACGTATCTTTGTTTCTACTTTGTTGGAACTGGTCCGATAGCAGTAATTTTTAGGTCCTCCCGATATATGAAGGTTGTAATGTGCCCTTCTTTTAATTCATCAGTGAGTTGGCCGAGATAAGGACCCAACGGGGGCTCTGATTCACCTGGTTTGCTGACGAATATTACCGAGTCCGTATCATAGTACAACACTCTTTCATTCAGTTGATCCAGCACTTCGTACAATTTGAGTCGGGCATAAGCGGTTGTAAAAGCGGCGATGACCACATTCGTTTTGGAATTTGGCGCTATAAAATTTTCGTTGTTTTCGTAGTGGATCTCAATCACTTCATCGCTTATAAAATTTGCGTCGAGCACGTTGATTTCGTCGGACGTCAGATAGTCAAAGTACTTTGCACGTCACTGATCAATTCAACTTTAGCCATATTCGCACGTTGTGCAAATTTACCTATGGAGAAAAAATACATTATGAGTATTTGTAGCGGTAACGTTGCACGTGTTCGGATGCCACCTAAAAGACATTTAGAATACATGCACTGTTTAAAATACATACCCCAAAACGAGTTTAGCATGAGCTTGGATAACGCACGCATGCCTGGATTGTGCTCGATTTTGCTTCGATCCAACTGAATTCCTTCAACTGCAAGGTATTCGTCTACGTATTGTTGTCTCTGTTCCTCCGTGGTACAATTCTTAGGGTAACCACGCGACTCCTGTTTGATCTTGAGAAAGGTGTCCACATACTCTTTAAACAATCGGTCGGAGGATTTAGAAAAATGCCATACTTCATTCAACTGTAGAATTCTGTAACCTTTCTCCAGGGCTTTCTCCAACTCTACGCTACACCACGTTCCTTGAATGGCTCTTTCGTTGTCGGAATGGGTACAGGGGGTCTGATTACACGTATCGGCACACAACTTGCAGAGGGGGAATATCAACTTGCCTTGAGTTCGATAAGGTAAGACTGGATGGAAAAGACCTCGAGGTGGAAGCACCGTGCATTTAATCAAGCCGAAGTAAGTGGAAATATCTTCAAAATTTTCTGTGATGATGCGGGGATGGCCAATAACTGTCCTCGTCATTTTGTTGCACCATGGGTAAAGGCTCGTAAAATCCACATACCTAAGAGAAAGATGACGTCTTCAATATATTTGCTCTGACGTCATAACTGTTCTTATCATTTTTATTACATCTTACCTTATTTTCTCACCATCTTTACACTCGTGGAACAGTTTTGCGGTGTTAGTTCGTCCACCAAAGAAGGCATCACGTGGTTCCAAAGGATTTTTATAACACTTCATATCTTGATTTGTTCCATTTCTTTCCTGATGTCACATTCCCAGACTTCACACACCCTGAAACCTTGATCCTTCAGGTAACTCATCTTCTCCACTGTGGTTTGATGAAGATCTTGCATCGTCTTGCCATTGACTGGATTTATCGTGTCCCGAGAATAGCATTTCAAACATCCTGTAAAAAACAATAATATAATTTTACTCCAAGGTGTTTATTCGAAGGAGGCGTTTATTCGAGTTAACTTACCGTGCCAGAAGCACCCATTGATCTCGTAGGCTGTGTTGGTTTCTTCATCATAACCGTCCAGTAAATAGTTGCCAACACGCTTTTCTCCTGCATTTCGGGCATGTTGAATGTAGAGGTCTTCTTTTTCAGCCTTATACGAAAGCCATTTTATAGCCAAGAGGGATTGCTTGTCTTTGGGACGATAACCGTGAGGGGGAATGATGGCTATGGTGTTTTCTTTTAGGAAGTTCTTTCGGAAAACAAAATTACAGGCCGATGCAATAGTGAGGCATTTCTCAAATGGATCAATGTCTGTAACACCACGAAATAACTCGCGAAATTCTAGACAGCAACGGCGTAATATATCCACATCAGATCGACAGTGAGTCAAGATCTCTTGTTGGAAGTCGAACACATAATTGTTCTCTTTCAAACCATTATGCCATTCCAAAAACTTTTCTTTCTCATCCGGACTCATTCCATCAGGATGGTAAAATGGACTCGGGGGTAGGGGTCCAACGTAGTTTTGATTCTCGGCTGTGTTGAACAGATGAGGGAAGCATCCTTTCGCGAGTTCGTTCAAACCCAACGTTTTTGGAAAATCAGCGAGTCTCATCGGTATGAAACTGAGAGAGTCGACAAACTTAATCTTGAACATTGGAACATTTAACGTTAGGATCGTGGCACCACGCATAATGACTTCGGGAATTACGCCATTCTCGTGTAAGTACTGTTGAATAAAGTAACCGTCGTAACCTTGAAAGTTGTGAGCCAAAACGATACAGTTTGCATGTTCCTTTGTAAAAAGCCATTCACAAAATTCATTCCTCGTATTATCTCCTTCAAATACCCACTCGTCTCCTGCTTCGTTTTGTACTACGCACAAGTTGGGTTCATGATTTCCATTTTCTTGGCGACACTCAAAGTCGAAAAATAGCAGTTCGTTGTACCCACTTTGAGGGGCATCATCTCCGTCATGTGCCTCGGTGTCAAGAAGGTCAGTGTCCTCGCTGACGGCCGTGTTTCTCTCTTTCTCAGGTTGTATGTAACACTGATGATTCTCCAGGCAGACGTATTCCTTACATGTCGAGCAACGAGTCAAGCCGCAGTGATGCTGCCTCAATCTACCCCGTTTTACAACAGTATGACAATCAGGACATTTTGCTAAAGAACCACAAATAGATTTTGCACTGCCTACAGTTTGTTTATGTCGATCGAAACATTCTTGACTTTTAAAAACACGCATACAATCCACACAAGGCAGCCACGAAACAATTGGACAATTTGGAAAACGACATGATTTACATGCGTCAGCACACAAATGGTCAATAACTTTATCATACCCCTTTTTACAGGTATGACAATACCGTTTTCTGGTAAAAAAGGCCGGCATACTCGTAAACACATCATAGTGATATCATGCAAAAATAAATAAATCATTTTGTCTTTTTCAGGACCGGAAAAAATAATTGAATTTTGGTGCTCTTTTGAAACGATATTGATTTGATAATCCGATAAATACGTTTGAAAAAGTTTGACCTCGCCTAAACCGCAAGAACCAATCTCCACCCCGGCTTTTTGGTGCAAATCATGAGCTAATCGTTTTTGTAATGGCCCACGGGAATCCTTTATAGAAATATACTGGCTATCATTTTCAATGTTGGCAATTGAAACGACTAAAGCACGCGCTAAACAAATGTCGTCCTTGTTTTGAATACGAATAATTGATCTTTTGTTAATTAAATGTTTTTCCAAATTAATGTTACTACGTTTTGTACCAGTACCGCCGTTGGGCATTTCAACATGGATTAAATTGACATGGACTGAATCGTTTAATCGAAATTCGTGATTAGATTGTATAACACGTTCAACTTCAGCCAATACTCGTTCAGTGGTTAATCTTTCCCGGGGCATAAATGGTAATGAAATAGGGGTTTCGAGTTGAGGCGATTGCAAAACAAAGCGGACTTGATCGTGTAGGGGAACACCTCCGGTCACAGTTTCAAGCAAACTTTCAAAGATTTTATGAAGGCGAGTATGATATTCTTCCAGCTCCAAATCAGCAAAAGTGTTCGCGAATTGAACGGTATAATCACTACCAACAGTGTTAAACTTTTTTACCTTTACTTGTTTAAGGTTTGTTACAGTAAAAAAGTTATTAACCCTAACCTCGTCACTAGGTCCAGCGTCGTCATTCACCTCCTCGTGGGCTCTTTTCTCGCCTCTACCCATCTGGAAAAGCCCAGTGTCGTCATCCCAATCGTGTTTGAACCGTGCTCTCTGCTCATCCGTCCACGTTGACATCATATTCTCGAGTACGGTGCCACTACTAAACGTTATCGACCGTACCGCTCGTCATCTTTCCACATGTCGAGAAAACGCTGTCGTTCTGTCGGTGTCCAACTGTCCCCAATGGATTCAATGAAGCCCATGGCCCTATGCTCTCGGCCCCATTCAAGAACTCGCTGTATAAGTTCCATTCTTCGTTCGTAAATTTTTTCATATTCGAAAAAGGTCATATCAGACCCCAATTCTGTTTCCAACTCTCCAAGCTGGGTCAACGTTTCGCAGTTTTCGATTCGATTATCCATGTTAACTTCAACACAATCTTGTTCACTTAGCAGTACTATAGCTTGAAATGCACTATGACTGAAACTGCGAAAGCTGCTCTTTTTATAGCCGCTCTATCGCATTACGTAAGCATTTAACCTTGACAGACACCCCAGATAGCGAACGTTCATGTTCGCCCACGCATTCATACTCTCCGTTAACAACTAGTCTGTACTACGTAAACATACTCTAAAACACTGAACGTTCAGGCTCACCCACGCACTCATACCTATGGTAATAGGCGTATGTTTTAGCATTGTCAATCTCAACATAATTTGACATAAAAGGTTTGCACATAATAAATATTATGGCTCATCTCAACTCGCTAATTATCTGTTAATAGCTGTACAAAATAAATCAAATCTCATTTAGTTCACAGAGAAGTTAGCTAAAATAGAACTTAAGCAATGAAAAACGATAAATGTGTGTTTATTAAATGGGGAAAATCATGTTCAGCAAAATGTGTGTGTGTGTGTGTGTGTTGCGTGTGCATGGGATGTTTGACTTAAAACATTTGCATATAATACATATAATGCCGCATCTCAATTCGCTAATTCAATATCTGTTATCTGTACAAAATAAATCAAATCTCATTTAGTTCACAGAGAAGTAAGCTAAATGCAACGATATCAACCCGTAAAGGGTTTGTAACCTTAGTATTGCCAACGGCTGACAAAATGTGCGTGTGTGTGCATGGGATGTTTGAAAAATTTGCATATAATAAATATAATGGCTCGTTCCAATTCACTATCTCAAATAGAAAAGAAAAAAATCTCGTGTATTTCACAGAGAAGTAAGCTAAATGCGACGATATCACCCTTAAAGGTTTGCAACCTTAGTACTGCCAACGGTTAACAAAATGTGCGTGTGTGTGCATGGGATGTTTGAAAAATTTGCATATAATAAATCTAATGGCTCGTTCCAATTCACTATCTCAAATAGAAGAGAAAAAAATCTCATGTATTTCAGAGAGAAGTAAACTAAAATAAAACGTTATCGAATGGGGAGAATTCGTTTTCAGCAAAGAGTACACTATACTCGATTTTTCCATACGTTAGACCGGTACGGACTCCCAGCAAGGACTTGCACTACTGGTCACGACATCTTCGTTTGTTGCCCAGGAGCAACGTCTAACAACAAACGTTTACTCTATCGATATAACGTTCGTGTCTTTTTTACTTATTACTATTATTATAAATGTTTAGGCTATTTCATTGACTGTTAAAACTGAAGTTGTGAGCAGCAAATCCCCTACAGTGAAAACTGCTCTTGATCTAATGCATACTATGAAAAGGATAAATCGAGTGTGTGTCCACCGAGTGAGGAGTATTGATTTTCAGAAAAGTGTACACTACACACGTTTGATTTGTCCACATTTTAGGGGTATTGACTCTTAGCGAAACTTGATCGATGCATGCTATAAATATATGAAATGTGAAATCGAGTGTTTCGTTTAATTCTTTTAGTATATTTGGTGGCTCTTAAAAGAGCCGTTTTTGTATGTCTTGTACGTCTCCCTTACTCTAAAAGAGACGTATCAAAATCCAACACATATTGTGCGGCTAACGATTCTTCTTGACGGTCTTGCTCACTCATACATACAGTTGGACGTTCATACTTTATAATTTACGCGGGAATAGCTGAACGTTCATACTTTATAATTTACGCGGGAATAGCTGAACGTGCATACTTCATAATTTATGCAAGTATTTCCGGTGATGTCATTGATGTTATGACGTCATTGGCGGCATCCCTTTGAACGCTATATGGGGGGGGGGTAACCTACTCCCTGGTATTGCACCCTACCTATGTGCTGACTGTGCTGTAAAAGTAATCAATTATACTATTTTTAATTTCCCTTCATTGAAAGGATCTACTATTGTGGGCTAAACTAAATTTTAATCAGCATACAAGGCTGCAAACAACAGCCAAGAATTAGCTGGGTAGTTTGCAAACTTTGAAAATAATTGGACCTCAAACTTTGATCTCCAGAAGTAAGCAAATAATCAATACTGCGAACATAATCCAAGTTTTGATCACTAGGGGGAATTTTTAGATGTAATGTATAATTTTTAAATTACATATCAAACAAAGGCAAAACCATTCTCGTACCCAGAGCCCTTCTTACGCGCGGTGCGACGAGGGGCTCTGGATACCTTAAAAACATGGTATGAAAACAATATCCGGTGTTAGAACTAGCCAATCAGATTCCAGTTCGGAATATGGATTTGACCAGAGCCCCTCGTCGCACCGCGCGTAAGGAGGGCTCTGGGTACGAGAATGAGGGAAAACAAAATTTGGTATTAATTTTTTGGAGGAATCGTCAAGGTTTTTTGTTATGCGCCCACGTTTCTACAACCCCCCCCCCCTCTCCCAGGATATTCTACCTCAAAAAACAGTTTTTTTCAGAAACTATGCTTTTTATCGGGAAAATTCTTACTTTTCTCAAAAAATACATTATAAACACGGAAACCTTGAATATTTAAATAATTTTCATACATTTTGGGGGTTGAAAAAAGCAAAATTGGATTCATTATCCCACTTTTTAAAATATATGTGACAAAGTTGCTTCAAAATCACTATCACGCAGTAGCATGTTTTGTGGTAGATTTTCGTTTGATCCCCACAATAAGAGCAAATTACGCGTTATAATTAATCTTGTGTTTTGTATTAAATCCCTTCCCAAAATCGCTCTCAGTTACATATATTCCCATGCAATAACAACATTCCTTTTATCTCATGCCTGTCAATCAATTCCATATATGGTAGTCGCCTCATCTCTAAATTTAACTATTAATTATTAATGTCAACCTTCTTCCCGACACACTAGCCCTATATTTAGAACGTAAGTTTTAAATATAAATTTATCATGTCTTATATACACACGAACGTCTACACGTATTCACCGTCTCTACCCATCAAAGTTCTTCCTCTTCCTGATCATAAATTAGTTCAATATTCTTCCTTGCATCGACAGCCGCTCTACGCTTTGGTTTGAACTCCTTTGCAGCAAGATTCAATGGAACAGTTTCTTGATTGTTTTCTCTATCACAATGCAATTCCAAAGGGTAAAGAAATTGTATTGGTCTTTCCATGAATGATTTTCCTGCACGTAGTCTAACTCCACGAACCACTCCGTCACTTCCGGGTATAAGTTGTTTAACAATCCCAATTTTCCACAGTCTACGATTCTTTTCATCACCTTTGATCAACATAACATCACCCTTTCGTAGCTCTCTCTCACTTAAAGTTTCCCGTCATGTGTTAAATTATGCCTTTCGCGAAGTGCTCTCATGTATTCTCGTTTCCATCGTTGCCACAACGCGTCCTTACATTTCTTCAAATATCTCGCCCTCTTTTGCAGGTCTCGTTCTTCTATATCCTCAGGTGATAACTCCATAAGATAATTGGCTTTACCGAAGACCATCATGTTCGGCGTCAACACGGAAGTTGAATGTCATTCTCGCAGTTCGATAGTGGTCGATTTTTCAATACGAGCTGGATATCTAGCATCACGTCTTGCAATTCGTTGAAGGTAAGTTTTGCCGATCCTACTTTTGTAATGTCGTCTATTAATAATCAACGCACGTATTACGATTAGTTTATATTTAGAATATGGACATTATATATTCAGTTGTTTACATGTAGCCGAGATATCAAGAAGTCTATTAAATAAGAGAACATTATAATGGCGATGAAGATAAACGTATTCTATTAAACGAAACGATGGTAGAAGAGCAGGCAGAGCCTCAACCACTGCAGCAACCGGCTGTACAGATCATGCAATCTGTAACAATAACTCCAATGTCAGAATTTTGCCCCGATGCAAAAATCGGAACAAGCCTTTCGACAAGATGGAACAATTGGCAGTCAGACTTCGAAATGTATATAACCGCAAGTGGAATAACGGATTCAAAGCGAAAACGTGCACTCCTGCTATATCAAGCCGGACCGAGAGTTCGCGAGATTTTTAAACAAATCCCCGAGACAGGAACATACGGACTACGACATCGCGAAACAGAAATTAAAGGCTTACTTCGACCCTCAAAAGAATCGGCGGTACGAAGTTCATCGTTTTCGGCAAACAACTCAAGAACACAATGAGACATTAGATCAATTTCACACCAGACTTAGAACAATATCAGAAACCTGTGAATTCGCAGACGTTGAATTTGAAATCGAATAACAAATCATTATAGGCGGAAATTCATCGAAAATACGAAAGCGAGCACTGCGTGATCCTACATTTGACTTAAAATCAATGTTTTTAGAAGGACGTCGTGACGAACAGAGCAAGTACCAAGCTCAACAAATTGAATCTAAAGAACAAACTGACGGTGAGGCTAATAAATTAGAACAAAAACCTAGTAACGGTAATATTTCGAACAGTAGTAATATTATTTGCAGACTCAATTGTGGGCGTGCTTATCCATACACAGGAGCATGTCCAGCGAAAGGGAAAACCTGTAATAATTGTGGAAAACCGAATCATTTCGCTGCTGTTTGTCGAGGAAAACAAAAACAAACGCGATCACCGAGATACTCAAACAAAAAGCATGCACAAAGAAATTTAAAAACATTAGATACAGGATCAAACTCGAGTTCTGATGAAGACTATTTATATACCATGACAAATACAAAGCACAATAACAAGGTCAATGTTAAAGTAGGCGGTGACAATTTCAAACAACAATTGACAGTGGCGCGACAATAAATGTGATCGATCGTGACACTTTTAACAAAATGCAAGACATAAAATTAACTCGCACGAACACGAAAGCTTTCCCGTATAATACGAAATCACCAGTTGAATTTTTGGGAAAATTCGAAGCGGTAATCGAAACACGAAAACGAATATTTTTATCCACATTCTATGTCTCTAAAGCAGCGAACTGTGGAAACTTACTTTCTCTTTCTACTGCACAAGAACTCGGACTTAATAGTTTGCATCTAGACAAACTGACATCAAAGGATGCCGCACTAGAAAACATCCTTCAAAAGCATTCTAAAGTTTTTCCGATCTTGGAAAATTGAAGGGAGAAAAAATCAAACTAGATATAGACAAAACTAAAAAAGGCGCATACCTTATCACATTCGAGAAAAAGTGAAAAACGCGATAACTGAATTAGAAAATCAAGATGTCATTGAAAAAGTGCCCGAAAATGAAGCTACTCCTTGGGTTTCACCAGTTGTAGCTGTTCCCCAAAAAGATGGACAGGTTCGCATATGTGTCGATATGCGGCTCGCAAATGAAGCTATAAGACGAGTACGCCATCCTATACCAACAGTAAATGATGTGAGTTTTGCCCTGAATGGAGCAAAATTTTTCTCGCAACTTGATTTGAGCCAAGCGTATCATCAGTTAGAGCTGGATGAACAGTCTCGATATATAACGACCTTTAGCACTCATGTAGGTTTGTATCGCTACAAAAGATTAAACTATGGTACAAACGCTGCAGCGGAGATATTTCAGTACACACTCCAAACTGCACTGCAATGGCTTAAAGGCGTCAAGAACATAGCTGATGATATCATTGTATTCGGCTCAACAAGAACTGAACATGACGCTAATCTTGACAAATGTCTGCAACGACTTGCAATGAAGGGCTTACGACTAAACCGAAGCAAGTGTAATTTCCTTAGTACTACATTGTCATTTTTCGGACAGGTCTATTCGAAAGAAGGTACTCATCCTGATCCTAGGAGATTAGCTGATCTATTAAATGCACCTCTGCCAAATAATGCACATGAAGTCAGGAGCTTTCTTGGCATGGCCAACTATAGTAGTAAGTAAATTCGAGATTTCGCAACACTAACTGCTCCCCTTCGTGACCTGACGAAAAAGGATGTTTGTTTCGAGTGGACTCAAACACACCAAACTGCTTTTGAAAAGCTGAAAAACACGCTTGCAATTGCTCCATGTATGTCATATTTCGACAAAAACAAACAAACTTTTGTAACAGTTGATGCTAGTCCTGTAGGAATTTCTGGAATTCTTTCTCAGAAACCAAGAAACGGTGACGTAGACAGTCAACAGATACAATGTAATTGCATATGCCAGTCGAGCGCTGACTGGTACAGAAAAGAGATACTCCCAGACGGAAAAAGAAGCGTTAGCGATAGTATAGGCAGTTGAACATTTCCATTTATTTTTATTTGGAAGTGAATTTACACTAATAACTGACCACAAACCTTTAGAAATTATTTATGTCCAACGTACAGCCAAAACATCTGCACGAATTGAAAGATGG